AAGAAGGGATTTAGGAGGAGCCTGCCACGTCTGCACAGAACCATTTATGCCCCAGCAGGGCAAGGCTGTGGAAGACTTCCACACTTCCCACAGCCTCTAGCTGAGAAGTGGCAAAGAGGCAGGAGAGAAGGAATCAATGAAAGGGCGAGCCCTTCCCTTCTTAACAACTGACGCCTAGCAAGCCAAGTGCAAGGATATCCTAGGCAAGTAATGTGGCACTTAAGGAGGAGCAGCTATAACATGCAACTAGTGTTCAAATAAACTTGGGATCCTTCCAACAGTTAGTTACTGGTTTCTCCTTTCACAAAGCCAAAGGACCCATTCCCAAGACGTTCAGGGTGGTGGGTGAAGTCATATTTGTACAAGGTCCGAGACTCAAGCCACAGGAAACATGAATATTCCAGCATCAAAACTTGTACTCTTTCTCCCTTAGATATGGAATGACTATAAACTGCGATGGAATCCAGCAGAATATGATGGGATCGAGTTTGTCCGAGTGCCAGCAGATAAAATCTGGAAACCTGATATTGTGTTATACAACAAGTACAAACTCTCTTTCCTGATAACTTTTGGGCACTGATATATTTTTCTAAAGAAATGTTGCATTTTAGCATTGCACGCCACAATCTAAACTGTCCTCTGTCTGTATTTCCAGCGCTGTCGGGGATTTTCAGGTAGAAGGCAGAACCAAAGCTCTTCTCAAATACGATGGCACGATCACTTGGACCCCCCCTGCCATCTTTAAGAGTTCCTGCCCCATGGATATCACCTTCTTCCCCTTTGATCACCAGAACTGCTCCCTGAAATTTGGGTCCTGGACCTACGATAAAGCTAAAATCGACCTTCTCCTCGTCGGTTCCAAAGTGGATATGAATGACTTTTGGGAGAACAGTGAATGGGAAATAGTGGATGCTTCGGGCTACAAACATGACATCAAATACAACTGCTGCGAGGAGATCTATACTGATATAACCTACTCTTTTTATATCCGAAGGCTGCCCATGTTTTACACAATTAATCTAATCATTCCTTGTCTGTTCCTTTCATTCCTGACTGTGCTGGTCTTTTACCTTCCTTCCGACTGTGGAGAGAAAGTGACTCTGTGCATCTCTGTCCTACTTTCTTTAACAGTGTTCCTGCTGGTAATCACAGAGACAATCCCCTCTACTTCTCTGGTAATCCCCCTGGTGGGAGAATACCTGCTGTTCACCATGATATTTGTGACCCTCTCTATTGTCGTCACCGTGTTTGTGCTGAACATCCACTACAGGACGCCAACAACACACACGATGCCCACGTGGGTCAAAACTGTCTTCCTCCGTCTCCTTCCCAAAGTCCTGATGATGAGGAGGCCTCTGCAGAAACACGTCGAAGCCAAAACTAAAAAACTCAAAAAGGGCAGTACCAGTAAATCCAGCAAGCCAAAGGCTGGCGAGTTTGGAGAAGTGAAAGTCCGCAACGAACACAGGTGCTATCACTGCGACAAACCCAATGAGCCGGACATGAGCAAGAAAAAGAGACCGAGCCCCCAGTCTGCGAAATGGGCAGCTGACCAAGTGGAATACTCTCCCGAAGTCAAAGAAGTCATTAACAGCGTGCAGTTAATTGCTGAGAACATGAGGAGCCACAATGAGACCAAAGAGGTAGGAATGATTCCATAGTATTTGTTGGCCAAAGGTTCTCAAGTGCCATGTATGCTTCCTCAAAAGAAAGTTCTGCTGAGACGAGGAGGGTTTGCTCCCAAGTAAAGCCAGTGTGGTGTAGTTATTAAGAGCAGCAGGCTGTAATCTGGGAGAACTGGGTTTG